GGTCATGATTTCATTGCTTTGGAGAAATCAAACACTGGGGGTTATCTCCTCCCCAGCCCCTCTATTTCTCTGGCTCCAGGGTTTGCTACTTGGTTACTAAACAGAGCTGCTGCAGAGGAGACAGAAGCACCGCCCGGGTGCCACAGTGCCGCCTTTATTCAGCAGATGGAGGGGGCAAGTCACAAGAGGGGCCATCAAGAGTCACACAAGGACTAGGATCTGCAGCCAGTGGCTACTGGGCACAAGGGGCAGACAAGTCAGGGTGCTTAAGGTGGATGTGGAAGTTACGTAATTTTATGTTAACTATCTACAAAAGCGTAGGGGTGATATCCAAACTGTCAATCAGGTGCCTCCTTGTGGGTGTGGCCCTCTCAAAAGGAGGGCCCTGGAACCTCCCGCCCTTCTCCCTTGACCTTCCTGCTTGGGGGACACCCTGAGAGCTGCCTGAGTCCTGCCATGTTTCCACCAAACTCAGACCCACATGACTTTGCAGCCACCGGCCTGTGAGCTCCCTGTACTCTGCATCCTTGCATGGGGCTGCCGGAGTCTGAAGAGAGACTCAGGGACCAGACTCGGACTGAGGGACTTGAGTTGAACTGGGCGGGGATGTTTCCTCAATATATCATTACTTCTTGATGTAAAGCGATTTCTTACCCATATATGAGTGTCACTGGATTTGTTTCTCAACCCAGCCTAACACAGGGGAGATGGGAGAAGGATGGCACCTACCATCTGGACGAACCCAACAAACTGTTCTGGACGACCCATTTCTGCTGTCAAGGTCAAAATTGCTCCAGTCAGCTCAGCCAGCCCTGCATTAGAGATAGGCGTGCCGCAGGCACACGTGCGTTTCCCTGGTAGGAAACGTGTTCTGTGGAAATCACACCACAGGGGATGTCCCTGCATTTGCTCTTGAGAGCTGAAGACCACACAGCGGCGAGGCAGCAATGGACAACCCCGGCTGCCTTGGAGAGAGAGGCCCATCAGCTGATCTGTGAGCATACTCTGGGTTTTTTGCCTGCCATTCAGTGACAGGTGTGTCACGGCTGGTGGTGCAGACCCAGGCACCTCGGTAGAAAAGGTTGGCAAGGGGCTTTTTGAAAAGCCCACGGAGTGGCCGTGAGGCTTCGGCATCGGCTCTGCAGCAGCGTCTGGGCTTTCGTGTGTTCGTTTTGGCTGGACTCCGTCTGATAAGCAATACAACCAGAAGGTTCCTTAGTGACTAAGGCTGGTGCGACTTGGACCCGCTTACATTGGACACACTATCAGGAAAGACCAATGCGTAGAAAAAGGGTGTGATGGCCGGTAAAGTAGACCACCCGCTAAAGCCAGGGGACCCCTCAGTGTGCTGGGTTGGCACAATAACTCTCCAGCAGCGGGCTGAACAGTAATCATGAAGGTGGCAGGGGCCCAGGGGACCTTGCCTTCTGTTAAACACGAGCTCACCATGAAACAGGAGGCGTGGAAATGAAACAAACAGGGGGCCCATGTTTTGCACCTGGGAATGGAGGAGGGAAGGCAAGCTGGGGGTCAATGTCTTATGTGGACTGGAAAACAGCGGTTGCTTCGAGGAAAGTTTGTTGTTTAAGATTCACAAGTTAGGCATCAGCAGGTCAAGACCTACTGGAAGAGAACAAGGTCCCAGGAAAAGGGATTTGTGGGCAGAGTGGGCATTTCCTGTACCCTCCCTTGCCTCCTGTGTACCTGGAAACCAGGCCAGGCCATTAGTTTTAGACTAGGAAGTGGCAACAGGTGTGGGGGTTGCAAATGTGTCCCCAGGAGGGAACACGGTTTCTCTGTGCTCCATTCCATTCTGTCCCATGACCTCTCCCGCCTCTCGATCATGGTGAGCAGAGACCCACCCCTCTTCCACTGAGCTGCCCCCCTCAGCCCCTGACCCTTCACAATGGACTCCAGTCCAATCAAGATCACCTAGGAACTAAAGCCGTCACTGGGTTGATTTCCTTCCAAGCCCTGAGCTTCAGGGTGCTGGTACCCACGCCCATCAGTACCAACATCTCAGGAAGAGCTGAATCCAGCGAAAACCCCTGACACACCCTCACAGTAGGTGCCCCTAGATGTGGATCAAGACCAGCCCACTTGCCCATCGGGAGGGCTCCCCTGGGCTTTGAACCAGCGTCTAGGCTTGTCCTTAGGATGGTTCAGCTAGAAATCCGATTCTCCTAGCATGGGCCGACCGAGGTGACTGGAGATGAGGTTTACAGACTGTCTTCCCAGGCTCTGAAACGGAGTTCAGGAGGTTGGGGGGGGGGAATGTTGAGTGTGTGTGTGTGTGTTCATTCGAGCACGTGTGTGCTTAGAGGAGGGTGAGGAAGAGAAGCCTGCAGGATTGATTATGACAAACTATTGGAACTGAGGCTGAATCATCAAGGTTCAAAAAATAAATCGCTGCAGCTGAAGCGCCAGAACTCCCACTTATCCTAGCTCAGCCTGGTTCCCTCGCAGCTCCAGGGAGGTGGATCTGTGCAGGGAAGACTAGCAGGTGCTGGATGACGTGGCTAAAGCAAGGGACAGGTGCACTGCCACTCTGCCTCCAAGCTCGGAGTTACGATGAGCCAGCGCCGCCCCCTCCCCCAGCCCCCCCAGGAGCCTCTGACAGCTCCCTAGCTAGACAAGGGTCTGCACGCTGTGGCCAGCGTTCTGCGGTGGCAAGGAGAAGCGCTGCTCCCCGCGGGTCCTGGCTCTTTGCTGCCCCCAACATTTGTCTAGGGAGGATCACAGAGGTCCCAGTGCGAGGCCGGGTCGCCCCTGCCGCATCGCCAGCTGCCCGGAATCTGCTGGGTGGCCCCGAACCCGCTCTGCGAAACCAAGGGAAGCAGCGCGCGTCTGCGCCACGAGACTCCGGAGGTCCACCCCACTTGGAACACCCGCCGGCCCGGCGCGAGGGTCCCCGCGCCACCCGGGGCTCCGGCCAGCTCTGCCCGCCGCCGCGGTCGGGCCAGTCCTCCAGCCGGCTCACCCGGGTCCTCCCGGGGGACCGAGCGGGCGGAGCGAGGCTGCGGTGACGTCACCAGGGGGTGGGGATCGCGCCCCGGGGCCCGCGCCCGCCCGGGCCAGTCCGAGCCGCGCAGCCACCCGCGCGCACCCGCTCGCACGGCCGCTCGCGCCCGGAGCCCCAGGCGGTGAATTGGCGCCGGGGTCTGCTGGCCGGCGGACAGCAGGCGACACTGGGGACAGCGGGGCCGGGAGTCCGGTGCACCGACCGACCGAGGACGCCGACCAAGCTGCTGCGCGCCCGGGTGCCGGGCGACTGGGAGCAGGCACTGGGCACAGGGAGCCGGCCAAGGACCGCAGCGGGCATGGAAGGTGAGCAGTGCGTGTGTCTACGTGTGTGTGGGGTGTGTGTGTGTGTGTGTGTGGTGTGTGTGTGTTCGCGCGGACAGACCGACGGAGGTGGAGGGAGCGCACTTGGCACCTGTGTAGCTCTGTGAGGCACGGTGGCATGTCCCTCCGTGTGTCCGATGTGTCGCCCCCCCTGTGGGGGTCGGGTGCTAGTGTACTTGGCTCTCCGCCCCCGTGCCTTTGGCGGGGGTGGTTGGGGTGGTCGTGAACGACAGCAGGTGCCCGGGCATATGTGGGGGTCTGGGGGGGTCCCCAGCTCCCGAATGACTGTGTCATGCCGCTGCCTGCCCAGTTCGCGTGGTTCGCCCTCCTCCCGCCATCCCTCGCCCGCCAGCCTGGAGAGCAACAGTAGCTACAACTGGACAACTTCCCTGCCCTCGCCCCCCACCCCCGCTAAGAGCCCCAGCTCGGGACAGCCAGCCAGGCAGGTATGGGGCACCGAGACCCTCACGGACTCGTCCCGGAGACAGAGCCTGAGAGGGGCAGTTGGCAGGGACAGGGCACTTCTTGTTGCCCTTCCTGCCTGGCTGGGAGCGGTGTGGGGTCGAGTTCCCTCCCAGGTTCCCGGGAAAACAGCTTGCCGGATCTGGAGCCGCTGGGTGGCAAGGTGCCCTGCCGCGAGCCACCCTAGCGAGTCCCCGGCGCCTTTCCCCCAGCGTCTCTAGCCCCTCCTCTGCTAATAGAGACTGCACCCTGTTATGGGGACGGCCAGGGAGTCCTGGGCCCTAGGGGACAGCCAAGTGGCAGGCAATGGGAGGGTTTTCTGTAGGAATCAGGGCACTGGCTCAGCTGACCAGACAGTTCCCAGGCCGCCCCAGCTTTTCCAGGGGGCACCGAGGCCTCCCACTCTGCGGTGATTCCCTCTCCAGGAAGACCAAGCTGGGCTTCGCAGGCCCAGAGTGAGGCCAGCGATGGGGTGGGGGTTGGGGGCCCAGTGGGAAAGAGATGCTGGTGAGAAGGGGGAAGCTAGGCTGGGTACAACAGCAGGAAGCCCTGATGCAGGACCCCACAGACGCTCTACGGAGGGTGCAGGGTCTCTGACACCACCCTCATCCTCCTTGCCACCAAGCTGTACTTCCACAAGTCTGGATGCCCTAATCCCCACCCCCACCCCACCCTCTGGTGGGTCCCAAAGGAAGCCCCATGTGGCCCCGAGAAGCCAGAGCCTAAGGTTTCTGCTCATTTTTGCCATAGAGGGGGAATCCCTCTCCCACCGGCTGCCCACCTATATCCCACATCCACCAACACCCCAGCCCCAGTCTACAGAGTGGACAGATGCTGCCTGTCTGTCTGTTCGGAGGGCATGTGGCCCTTCATGCAATTCCCTCTCCCTCTCACCGGGGCTGGTGAGCCACCATCCGCCCTCCCTCCCACCCTCTGCCCCACCAGAGTTACCAGCCCCAACACCTTAGGGAGCTCCACAGGTCATCGTACCCGGACCCGGGGGTGTGGTTCATGCTTCTCACAGTGGTCCCTGGCTGGACCCTCCTGTACTGGCAGCTTCACTGCCATCCTGGGTCTGGAGAACGGGAGTCACTGAGGAGGGGGTGAGGGAGGGGAGGGGAAGCCTGCCATTTAATCCAGGACGGCTGACCCTGCCTCATTACAGCACCAGGTTGGAGATGCTCCCTGAGGGTAGTTTCTGAACAAATGCAGGCCTGAAATCCCAGCAGCACAACCCCACCCCCACCCCCACACACACACATGTGTTTTCAGAGCGGGCAGATGCCAAGGCGAGTCCTGGCTTCCCTTGCAGGTGGGTGGTGCAGGAGGCAGCCCCGACAGGCTCTACAGCGTATCCAGCAGGCCAGAAGCCACCCCAGGCCAAAGCTCTGCATGCCCTTGGCGTTGGCAAAGCCTCCTTTGAAAGCTCTCTTGTGGTTCAGTGGCTCATGCTTTGGGCTGCTAACTATAGGGTTGATGGTTCAAACCCACCAGCTGTTCCTGGGTGAAAGATGAGGCTTTCTGCTCCCGTAAAGAGTTACAGCCCTGGAAACCCTCAGGGGGCGGTTCTACCCAGCCCTATAGACTCCTGACGAGTCAGAATCAGCTCCAGGGTAGTGAGTTCTTGAGTTAAATCTCTTTTAACACCTCAGCAGCCCCCTTGAAAAGGAGAGGCATCAGGAAAGCCTGCCCGGGACAGGTGCAACCTGCCCGCTCAGTGAGCTATTCCCACAATGCACGGGGCACACCACTCTCCTCACAGCCTTCTTTTCCTGAACTGGCCTCCTTGCTCTGCCCTTCCGATGCACATCCAAGTGCCTGCTCAGAACCGCCTCATCAATAACCAACAACTCCCAGAACAATGAGCTCTTCTCCAATCCTTGCCTCTTATTTCCATCGTCTTGGCCCTGCATTACTATGGTCCGTCTCCCCTGTTGAATTGTCGCCCCCTAGAGGCCACTAGGAGGAGTAGTGGTGGGTTACCAATTGGGCTGCTCATGCCAAGTTCGAAACAGCAATTCAAACTCCCCAGTTGTCCCCCAAGAGAGATGAGAAGGACAGGGCTTTCTCCCTCAAAGACTTCCAGCCAGGGAAACCTGCCAGGGCAGTTCCGCTCTGTCCTCTAGGGCTGAAAGGAGTCAGAATCAGCTCCATGGCAGTGAGAGGGGAGGAAGAGGGTGCTGGGTGGACCAGGGGGGCGAGCTCTCAGACCAGTGGGGTTAGAATTCTTGCCTCTCATTCAGGAGACTGGGCTTGATTCCGGGGCCAGTTTTCAGTCACCACCATGTGTGACTAGGCTTCCAGGGAACTTCCAGGCCAGGAAGAAAGACCTGGAGATTTGACTTCCCCAAATCATCCCATGAAAACGCCACAGATCCCATGAGTTAGCTAACAACAGATCGGCCCAGCAAGGGCTTGCCCCGGCCGGATCCCCGTTGCCCACCTTTTCAGGGAGGCCTCTCATCGAGATCTAGATCACTCGTTTAATTGCTCATGTTTAATACCCAAAACTCAGGCAATGATATACCATGATGTTCTCCGCATGGGGCTGGAACAGAAGTCAACTGCTTGGAGCCAAAGCCCAGACAGTCCCCTGAGCAGCAAAAGGATGCTGTGAAGAGTATGGGGACAGTGGATCCAGTGTCCTAGGTTCAATCTCAGCCTCTCTAATTATGTTTCCAGGAATGACGAAGCAAGCTCCTTAAACTCTCTAAGCCCCGGTTTGCTGTAATTATCCGCTCTTCCACGGGGACACTTGAGCAGACCCAGAGCCTAGTAGGTGCATATGAACTACATGTACTACAGGGGCCCCAGTGGTACATTGGCCAAACACTCGGCTGCTAACCAAAAAGCTGGTGGTTTGAACCCACCAGCTGCTCCTTGGGGAAAAGACGAGGCTGTCTGCTTCTGTAAAATAAAAAAATTAAAAAAAAGAACACCCTGTAAACTCTCTGGGGACAGTTCTACCCTGTCCTTTCGGGTTGCTATGGCCACACCAATGGCATGAGTTGCCTCGAACCACATTAGCGTTGAGGCTTTCTGCTCTCCTTCCGGGCGTGCATCTGCTTCCCTCTGATCCACTCCCTGTCTTCGGCCTTGGGCAGGAATCACAGGCATTTTCTGGGGCGCTAAGACAAGCCCTCTGGGGCAGCACCCCACTCCGGGGGGTGGGGAGGAGAGTTTAGAGAAGGGCTGTCCACGGCGTAAGGAGAGCATGCATCCGGTATTTCAGAAACGAAGACAAGCAGAAACAAGAACAAAAATAAATGGAAGCATTCATTTTAAAAATGAAAGCAAACCAGATTTTTATTTTTAACTCCTAAGACTACAAATTGGCTTGCCAGGGAGGCCAATTTCAATAAAGCAGAGATAATGAGATGGGAGTGGGGCAGGGGGACGTGTATCCAGTTCTGCTCGGGAGCCTGGAACCCGCTAGGCGTTTGCACGTGCATCCATCAGGTGTACCGCCAGGATGTCCCATTTCAACGAGCGAGGGTCTGCGTGGTTCCAGGTCCTGCACCAGCTTACGCAGGCTCTGCAGGGGGAGCCTGACGCGGCTCTGCCTCTGAAGCCCGGGTTTTTTTCCACCACGGGGAATGGAGCTCCAGGGGCACCAGCAGGCCAGCATGTAGATTTCCTCATGGAGAAAGGGTCCAGGAGACCGGATCCGATCCCCTGGGCAACGGGGGCTGGAGTTCTCCAAGGTGGCCTCTTTCCACCAGTCACCTCCTTTGACATAAAGCCACAACCATCCCCCACTGTGTGTCACTGAGCATGACGAGGGAAGCTGGGAGGTTCCCCCAAGCCCTTCCCCACTGCTGGGTAAAGAACAGCTCCCATGTCCACTTACTGATAAGGATGGGCTGGCAGGAAGGATAACACCCTTTTCAGCTGAGGAGTATTGTCAAGGAGGGGGAGCCAGAAATGCAGAAGGCTGGAAAGAGCTTAAGAAGCCCTGGTGGCACCATGGGAGGCAAGGTCAGCAGTTTGAACCCACCCATCGCTCTTGGGGAGAAACATGCATAGGGCAGTCTGTTCCCATAAATATTTAAAGTTCGACTCTGTCCTACATGGTCGCTGTGAGTCAGAATCTAGGCCTTGTCACAGTTTAGTTTCCGTTGGGTTGGGTTGGGATTAGGGAGAACTCAAGAAGTCTAGGACTGACGGACCAATCTCCCCTTCTTCCCTTTCAGATGTCATGGTGCACCCTTGACTTCCAGGGCCCACGAAGGTGAGACTAGGATCTTTGGGCTGGTTGGAAGTAGCCTAACCCGGCGAAGCAGAAATGGATATGGTGTACGAGCTGTTCAATGGGAGCCAGCCATTCCCCCCCTCATCCTTGGAGCTCAACGGCCCAGGGGCAGCCAACGGCTCCAACCAAACAGAGCCCTACTATGGCATGACCAGCAACGCAGTCCTCACATTCATCTACTTCGTGGTCTGCATCGTTGGCCTATGTGGCAACACGCTCGTCATTTATGTCATCCTCCGCTACGCCAAGATGAAGACCATCACCAACATTTACATCCTCAACCTGGCCATCGCCGATGAGCTTTTCATGCTGGGCCTGCCCTTTCTGGCCATGCAGGTGGCTCTGGTCCACTGGCCCTTTGGCAAGGCGGTCTGCCGGGTGGTCATGACTGTGGACGGCATCAACCAGTTCACCAGCATTTTCTGCTTGACAGTCATGAGCATCGACCGCTACCTGGCCGTGGTGCACCCCATCAAGTCGGCCAAGTGGAGGCGGCCCCGGACGGCCAAGATGATCAACATGGCTGTGTGGGGCGTCTCCCTGCTGGTCATCTTGCCCATCATGATCTACGCCGGGCTGCGGAACAACCAGTGGGGGCAGAGCAGCTGCACCATCAACTGGCCGGGCGAATCCGGGGCCTGGTACACCGGGTTCATTATCTACACCTTCATCTTGGGGTTCCTGGTGCCCCTCACCGTCATTTGTCTCTGCTACCTGTTCATCATCATCAAGGTCAAGTCGTCGGGGATCCGAGTGGGCTCCTCCAAGAGGAAGAAGTCGGAGAAGAAGGTGACCCGCATGGTGTCCATTGTGGTGGTCGTCTTCATCTTTTGCTGGCTCCCCTTCTACGTCTTCAACGTGTCCTCCGTCTCGGTGGCCATCCAGCCCACCCCGGCCCTCAAAGGCATGTTTGACTTCGTGGTGGTCCTCACCTACGCCAACAGCTGTGCCAACCCCATCCTGTATGCCTTCCTGTCGGACAACTTTAAGAAGAGCTTCCAGAATGTCCTCTGCTTGGTCAGGGTGGGCGGTGCAGATGACGGGGAGCGGAGCGACAGCAAGCAGGACAAATCGCGGCTGAACGAGACCACGGAGACCCAGAGGACCCTCCTGAACGGAGACCTGCAGACCAGTATCTGAACGACCACCGAGACCCAGAGGACCCTCCTGAATGGAGACCTCCAGACCAGTATCTGAACTGCCTGTACCACACAGAGGCCAAGGTCTGCCTGCTGCTGCGGGGCTCCCTCCTCCCACCTCTTCCCGACTCCCACCCGTCACACCTGGCTTCTAGAATCTCGAATTGCTCAGCATGAGGCCAATTCAGCAAACTGTGTTTGAGTTTGCTTGTCTGAGTGAATGATCATGTACTGCAGTGACTGCTTCCGCCCCCTTCCCCGCTCCCCGCCTCCCCCCCACAGAAATGTCAGTGCAGGCAGGCAATCCCATGCCTGGGTGTGCCCTTGGGGAAGGCGCGGGCTCAACAAAAAGCAGCCGATGTCTCTGTGTGTTTGTGCCTTCCGTGCCTGTGTGTAATTGTGTGTGCTCGCCTTTAGACCTGTGGAGTGCTACTATCGGTTCCTGCCCAGCCCTTACCTCCCCTCCCGTGTTTATGCGCACAAGCAGCCAATTCAAGTGCAAAGCACAGGTGGACATTTCTTACAATCTGCTCCCTGCCAACATAGGCTGACTGTGAAGCCAAGGAAGTGTGAGTCCCCAGGCTCTCTCGGCACAGGCCTTTCCAAGGCCCCAGGGAGGCCCTAGCACTGTGTTTGTACAAACGCGGGTTCAAGTGGACAGCTGTTTTTGCAGACAGTGGAGAGAGTGGGCTAGTTTTGTATTCTCTTTCTGAAAGGGGGTCTCCTGCGTTCACTCTGCTCAGGAGGGTCTGCTTCATCCCTCCCAGGCCTGTGGGTCCTCAGTCAACAAGGGAGCAAGGGGCGCTGTTTGGAGACCCAAGGCGTGAATCCCTGTGTTGTTCCTTCTACTCAGATACTTCCAGATAAGACTTATTTACCCTCCCCAGCCCCCGCCAAAAAGAAAAAAAATCCACCGCTGTGGTCATCGATCGTGGTATTTATCCCCGACAAGAGCTTGCTTGGTTAGAAGATTGTGTTTTCACATCTCAAATTGCTCTAATTCTTCTTAGGGAGCCCTAAGAAAAGCCGCATCGCTCACCGCGAAAAAAGGAAAAACATTTTAAAAGGATGCCGATGCTTGCGGGGGAAGCAGTCTTATCCCTGGCCCCACCCCCACCCCCAGTGAAAATAAAGGGATAAGAGTGAAGTACCATGGCGTCTCCACGAGAAACCCGGAATTGTTACGGCTCTGCTGTCAGACACACGGCTTCCTAGTGCAGGAGCACGGCACCCCTGGAGGGGTGCACGACGCCAAGACAATCCCAGCGCAGCCTGCAGACCAACTGTCAAGGTCTGTCTGAGGCAGAGCCTTGAGAGTGTGGAAGGGGGTGGGGTGGGGGCCTGAGACTGGAGGGAGCCCTGCCTTCCTGGCCCATGGCATGCCCATTAAGCCTCACACCTCTCTCGCGTGCCACCTGGTCCCTGCGCCATCCCTGGAGGACCAGCACGGCCTGGCACAGCCCCACATCCATGGCACACCCAACCCCGGAAACTGTCGGTGGGTGATCCAGGCTGGGATGGCACCCATCGTGTGGACATCCACCCGCCAGCCCCCTCCGGGGCATGAAACACACACCCGGGCGCCCAAGACCCTGCTTTTAATCGGAAAGAATCATCCCTCGTCGGGTCTGATACCGACTTTCCCCAAATTCTTGCCCAGCTCCACCAACCAGGGCTGTCTGGGGGGTGGGAGAGGTGGGTGCAGGCGGCTTGTGGGGTCCTGTGCCGGCACTGCCTTTGTTCTGTGTCATTCCACACGGCCTCATTCCCCAACATGTTGACAGTGGCTCTGAAAAACATGCCGGTGAGATTTATGGCAGATAAATCAGCGCGTGTGTGCGTGACAGAGAGGTGGACCGGTAAGATGCGACCTGGCGGCAGATGGTCACACCAAGCTGCGTGCAGTAAAACCCCCACAGGCTTCCTCGTTGCTGCCGCTCCTGGGCAACAGCCTTCCTCCACAGTCTCTCCCTCCTCCTCTTCTGCTATTTGACTTCAAGGGGCCCCCACGGAGAATTCGAGGCACATGTTTCAAACCCAGCGTTTCCGCAATGTTGATGGGATGCCCCAGGGTCTCAGGATCAACACTGATGATTACATCGGGAGCAGTTCGCAGGGACAAGAACAGGTGGGAGTGACAGCCCAGGCAGACAGGTGACAGCTAGTGCACACATGCACCTGTGGCCAGAGAGAGTGGCTCCGAAGGTCTGCCGCATCTTGAGAGGCCATGCATATCAGATATAGGTGCATGTGGTGTCCTACGGCTCCAGGGTGGGGTCTTGAACACAGAGCCCTCATTACTCCTCCCACCCCACCCCACCCCCAATCCCCACCCCCAAGCAGCATTCAGGCTTCTGCAACGTAGCAGTGGGGAAGCCACCGGGGTCTGAAGTAGCTACATCGGGGTGAGGGTCCCTGGGCGGTGCAGACAGTTAACACGCTCGCTGCTGAAAGTAAGGCTGGAGCATCCAGTCCACCCGGGGGCTTCTCAGAGGATCTCACAATGTCCTTCCCTGACTCAGCCGCTGGTGCCGAGAGTCCAGCTCAACTTGGCGGCCACACGTTATTACCAGGTCCGTGTCCCCCCC